TCCTTCAGAGAAAGATCTTCTGTCCTGCTCCTGATTGCACCCCACTAACCATTAGAAAATTGAAAGACTGTTCCAAAAATTGACATTTTCTAACACAATTTTACTGGTCTACGGCCAGCTATACTAATTTTTCCTGGTACTGTCTGTACCGCCTGGTGATAAGAAATTGTGTGCTCTTTCTTTGTTTGCTAAGTAATTAAAAGGCTTAATAGGTAATGCTGATAAATTCGGGCTAATCAGACACTCATGCTTCCTTTTTTAAACCATGAATAGCAAGTGATTACAAAACCTTCAAAAGATAAAGTGAATGTGTTGTATGAGATATTTATTTTCTCATGCTGCCTGAAACTGCAAGCTAATTCACTGTTATTACTAAAGCTATCCAAATTGGCAGCTATATTCATGGCCACCTTAAAGGAAGCCTATTCTGAAAGAATATGGAGGCTGCCACTGCTGAACTCCATTAATGGAAATGCTAAGTCCGTGGCTGCCATGCTGGTCCAATGGCATTACTTTCTCAGACACTGACCTGGCACAAGTATGCAAAGGGAAAGCTCTGACTTCATGCTGACTTTCACGCTAATTTGCATGCTTACTTTATTTCATTGACCTTTCTCAACCCATTCACTCCAGAAGAACCATTAAAATAATTTTCGGGTATCAGGAAACACCTGCTAAAATTTATTCTATCTACACCCTATAGTACACTAATGTGATCGGTAAGTTTTACATAAACTATATAAAAATAATAAATAATGTGGTATACCTAGAATATTTGACACCCCAGACAGTTCATCTCCTCTGCTTCATAGGACACAATTATTTTCAGCTTTAATTGAAGTATGTTATATATTGGAAGACTGGAAGGTTATACAGCTCCCACGTGCCTTTTTCCAAATCCCTCTGTCCCTCTTTCCTCCTTTGTTGTCCCTCGTTTTTCTCTGCTTTATAGTTTCCATAAAAATATATACTATTTAACTATCAAAGGTTCTTTACTACACTTTACCTTTCATCTAACTTCTAACTTATAGACTTGTCTATTCCAAAAAACAGAATAAAGGAAAAGTAGTGGTGAAAAAAATCCCTTGTAGGTATATAACCAGTCAATATTTGGCATAGTTATACTTTATAGTCCAGGTGACAGGGGTGTATTTATTGCCTCCATACTTTTTGCAAAATGTTGTCTCTCTTTGTCAGCTCAGAGTTTGGAGATATGATTATAGACCCTAACTGCTGGTAATCACACAGTGAAATTGGCAAAAAAGTATTTTCCAGCCAAGCAATATTGGCTCAATTATGTAAATGTTCCAGAAAATGAGGCTGTATGGTGACCTCTTCTTTATGTGTAAATCATTATCATTGTAAACAATGTCATTGCTAGCACTTGGCTTTCTATGTGACCTTGTTATCTGCCATCCATCTAATTTGCCATGTGGTCAACCTAGAACTGGAAAATGTTTTTTTAAGCAGTAGTCTCTGTCCATGTGTGACATCTTAGCAGACGTCAGACGTGGATCTTTGTGCTCAGTCAGTATGGTTTCCTGGTCCTGTCACATAGCAGCATCTGAGCATATTACAGTCTCCGTGACAACAGAGTTTCTCATTTACTTGCAAAGTACATGGTGGATGAAAGAAAAACTTTTGAAGGTCATGTTGCTTGTAAATTAATAACTGAAATTCTACATGTACAAGTATTTTACAGTTTAAAGATAGAATTGGTGGACAGTTCTTGATAAAGTTAACCATAACTTTGGTGGACAGAATATTGTCAGTCCAATCAAGGAGCCAGCAGCCACTCTTAAAATGGGCCGGTGTTCAGAAACATAATGCTGTGAAAGAGGACTTCATCAGAGTAATCTCGATTGGTTACAATCAGTTGCTACAATTAAGAAATATTTAACACAGGGCTAAGATGTTAGAGTATTAGATATGACAGGCTCAACCATTGAACAACAATGCCAGCTAAGGCTACTGGGGATAGCAGGCACTATTAAATGCCAGATCATAAATGTACAGTGACAGCATAACTAGAACTCGCCCAGGGTTCCTATTCAAATTTCACTTTATGATAACTGGTATTTGCATGTCCTCCATGGCTCCCAGATGATTTTATGATAACTGGTATTTGCATGTCCTCCATGGCTCCCAGATGATTTTATGATAACTGGTATTTGCATGTCCTCCATGGCTCCCAGATGATTTTATGATAACTGGTATTTGCATGTCCTCCATGGCTCCCAGATAGCAGTGCTAGGGCCTGGCAACTGCATTATGGGATGTGAGATGGGTGTGTCAATTCTTTCTATGAAGGGAGGGCTTTGGGGAACTCTGCTGGTACTTTGGGAAGGAGGGGGTGCAAAATAAAGGAATAACCATATTATTTCTAGTAACCTCCAATACCCTCCAAATGTAAACAACACATTGTTTTAGTCACACTCACTATTTTACTCTTGGGATTGATCAGCCCTAACCATTAACATAACATGATAAGTTATCCAATTCCTTGACAATGCCTCCACTGGGAAATTGGCAATTTCAGGATGGGGTGTACGGCTCAGTTTTCTATACCAGTACACCATCTGCTTCACTTGAGGCCAGCTTTATTCCACTCCCTCTATTCTTTATAGAATGCAACAAACAGAATGCACTAATATATTGCTGAAAAACATTAATTATCCACTGAAAATATAATACACATATATCAAGGGTATTGAGAGAAAAGCATCCTAGGTGCAAAGGAGAGTATCAGCATTAGAGGTGAATGTGGGGAAGGAGTTTCTGGGTGCTTGGTATGGCACTTTTATCATCTCCTGCTTCATGCTGGGGTTCAAGGCCAAGATGGTGACCCTCCATCCTGCTCCCGTCCTCGCCGGAGCACTCACTCCCCCTGCGGATATAGGATGAGTCGTGCTCCAGCAGTTGAGCACTGTCTTTTTGATAGAAGAGCATTATGTTGTTATTGATGTTGATAAAAAGTGGATAATAAATAGTTTAAAGCACGGTGTACTCTGTTTGTGGTTTTGAGTGTAAACGGCGTTCTCAGGCAGATTCATAGCGACAAGACAGAGTGGTATGTGAGTCCCTTTGATGTATGAATGATATCAGTGAGCTATATCATTGTTAAATATCCTTCACAATTGCCAACAGTGATTCTTCATTTTATTGGTATTACAATGATGAGTTATTGGGACACGTATTTTGTGTGCACTTTCCTGACAACAAATACCTTCAGGTCTTCTTTCAGGTCTCTACATGCTTACTGCACTCACTAGGCATAGCCATCCCAACTACTTACTTTTTCACAAGATTGTTGATGACAGTAGCAGTAATGCAACAATGCAATAGGAATTGGTCATAGAAGTTGAAAATGTACTTGACAATTGCTAAGGTAAAGTGCTTAATATCTAACAGTCCAAAGGGTCTCATAAGTCCATGGCACCGCTCACAAGTCTGGTGTTGCTTCCACCTCAGCCCCAGGTGCCAACTGCCCCTGGGATTCATCACTCTACATACATTTTCCTCTAGAACAAATGCAAAGCCCCACATTGTTGATTCAAGTAGCTCAAAGCAACTTTATTGATGCAGCAGAAATGAGGACACTCCACCGACACCTCCCTTCAAGCATGTAGCCCCATGCTGATCTATGGTCAAGACCCAGATGCGGGTGAAACACATCAAGGAGTGCCTTATTTCTTCTAGGGCAACAAAAATGTTTTGAGTTTTTTGGATCACAGTGTGCGGCTTTACAGGCACGTACAGTATTGCTTCGCCTGCTTCACTCAGTTGCTTCAAAGTCACATGATTTTACCAGGGGATGGGGCAGCAATAAGCTACATCTTTGGTGTTCCCTGTGATTATTTTTCATTCCTATAACAGTCTGCATGTGTGTAGTTACCTGTAGAGCAGTCAGAAACTTCACAGGCATGATGAAATAAAAGATTTTATATATTTTTTTTTAATTTAAATCTGAACTCCAGTTTTACAAATTGTACAGGATCATTTATTGTTCTGAAATTGCCTAATCTGATTTCACTGTACACTATGAGCTTCTCACAGTGTGCATTAAAAAGTGAAGTAGGTCTAATAGAGTCCTCGTCACTTCCTGACTTATGACCATCGTCTAGCCCTTTCCTCCCCAGTCTTTACTGTACCTGGCCTGCTGCTTTCATTCATTGGATTTTACTTCTTTCAGCCATGTTAGCTAGGGTGTCCTGCAGACTGCCATCCACCCATCAACTTGACATTTGCACCTAACCTCCTGAAATCAGCACAAACCTTAACCCAACCTTTCACCTTTAAAATTTAGCTTATCCTCCCAAATCCACATTTACCTTATCATTTGGTGACTGTAACGTTGAAGTAAATATAAGATTTTTCCTATGTTAGAATGTATGTTGGTGAAGACAGATTTTCTGTGCACTAGATGCCACGTGTACTGTAGCTCAAATATCAGTTTTATGTGGACTGATCATTTAAATGAATGCAGAATGTTGTAATATAAACAAACAGCAGAAGTTATAATAGTTTGGGGAACATTTAATGTGTTATGCTTTTCTTTACATTTACATGATTGTTTATATTATTTCTTTCATTTGTAAAAACTCTTTACTGTAGAAATAATTAATAAATAAAGGCCACGCTAGCTTTTCAGAGCATTCTTTAAAGAGACAAACCAGCAGTAGCTTTCCTTTTTGTGACTGTCTCTTGCTAGTCATATAGCTTTGTATGAGTAGAGCAACAGGGTAGGGGAGAGGCAGTGAGTCGCTCAGCTGTGTGTGTAAATTGAGCCTCAGTGCTTCAGTTCAGTAATCAAGAGTCTAGAGCTCCTACCTGCTGGCTGAGAATTGCAAACATGAAACATGTATAGGCAATATTTTTTATTTACCTGGAAAAAATATGAAATAATTATTTTTTTTACATTTTTCTTTTTAGTTTATGAACATAATACAAAAATAAATATACAGTACAATAAGCTGATGCTTTTATCCTTTCTCCTCCAGGATCTATACCGATGTGACTAACTGCACCCGTCTCCTGGCAAACCATCAGAACTGTTATTGGCCGAACCATATAGTGGATCATTTCTTCACAAATATTCATAGAAACTATTTCAAGAACTGTGCCCTGACTGGCAGGCTACCAGCGGACCCACCATTTCCTGTCCTGTGCTCTTTCATCTTTATCCCCATCCTTATAACCGTCCTGATGACAGCACTTGTTGTGTGGAGAAGCAAGCGCAGCGAAGGAATTGTTTGACAGCCGTGACAAACCCTTTCTAAAGATTGTCTCTACATCCAAGCTTGGGGAAGAGTGGAACTCTGTTACCTTAATTCTGTATTCTGTTTGAAGCACAAGCCTCCAAAATAAACCCTTAACAAGTTATTGTGAAGCATCCAAGATGGCCTCTATTACAGCCTTTTGTGATATATTTGACTGGTTGAATTTTAACATAGGGCAAAGGACATAAAGATTGAAGCTGTGAGCATGAAAGTTTGCAGCCAATTCAATTTAACAGTACCAATTTGTGATACAAAAAGACAGGGTTTTTTTCCATTATAACAGCAACTCTGATGTGAACTGAGGACCCAAATGACTGAGATAAAGTCATTAAGGCTGCTGAAAAACAGAATATGTAGTAGTAAATCTTAATGAAGACAATGTTGCATTGTATGTGGATTTCTTTGTAGCATAGTTCCCAAAATGACACATAATATAGTCCACATATCTATTAATCAGAGCTGCCACTGATGCTTAGAAATGTCCAGTGGTATTATATATATATGACAAATATACTCTGACAAATCTAATGAAAGATGAAATCTGGCTGGCTGCTGTCACCTCCTGCACATTGCTTTGGATTACCAAGCAATCTCGATTCAGTCAATAGGTACAGATAGCAATGATGATGCACAAAGGACAGTCACCCATAGCAGCTATTTACCTATCAGGTTTCTGCAGTCTGCTCGCTTTAGAAGTTATGTTATGGGTTACTGGATCTTGCTAAGGGTACTTATTGCCCTATTGAATAAGGCATCTTGTGTCCTAGGGTAACCACTTAATTTATAGCATTTATCTGAAATGCCTTGCTTCCTATTTACTTCCCAAATGTCACACTTGAAGTTGTGGCCATTGCCCTTTGCCCATACAATGTGTCTGTTCTTAAACAGGGAAAACAATCATTTTATTTAAAGAAGCACTATTGCTAAAATGGTGTATCATTTTCTTTTATGTGTAAAGATAGCTTTAAGTAAAGCAGAGAAGTATTTTCTATAGCTAAAATTTGTACTAATGTCTATTTTTGTTTCCTAAGAAGAACTGTATGTGTGTAATTAAATTGTTTCCATTGTTTTTATCTTCTCATTGATGTGACATTTTTCAAACTATTCAAAGTAATATGTGTAGAAACCAAAATACAGGTAACTTTACATTAAAGGGAAATTAATATCCAGAACCTTGTTCCTCAAGGTGTCTCAGAAACATATTGTTATGTGTATTTAGACCTTATGGATAAAAAGGGACTTGTTACATTGTCCAACTTATTTTCTTCATGCGTGGAATGTGTAGAAGAAAATTACCACACCATAAGTAGTCTAACCTGTGCTAGGTATCATTACAACTCCGGTTCACCAAATCAGAAAAGATATATGCAGAACAGTCACTATAACTAAATGAAGCCTCATAAAAAATCTTTACAGGTTCTCTTGTCCCATTTAACTTCATCTACATGGCAATCTTGCCACAGAGACTTGCCTAATTGTAAAGTTAAATTTAACACTGCACTATACAAAATAACTACAAACCATTCTGTCACAAGTGCCTGAACTATACATAGATTCATATTATCCTATACATTTTCCATATGCAATAAACCTTGTGCAGTTATACAGAGGGAACTTGGCTTCCGGCCTCTACATCAGTCATATTGGCTGCAGTAGCTATGAATATAGATACGCAAAAATGCAGTGCTCCTCATTATTTATCGGTTACAGGATGGGCCAGCGCAACAATCAAAATATTAAATTTGATTTTTTCAGACTTACTTATGGAATGTCATAAAAAGTCTGCCTTTCCTATCAATTGCCTGAATTACTTCACTGCCTCCCAAGTGTATGCAACAGTGTCACATACCCAAGCACTTCTTTAGTTGTTTATATTCATCCTAACTATGTGGATTTTTTTATGTGTTATTCTTATGCACACTCAGAAAGTGGAAGACAGGCTGTAAGGTCAGGCAGTAGACAGGGTACCAAATGCCAAGCTTTAGATCACCTTTCACCACCATCTCTAATCTGCTAGTCTTAAGAGGCAGACCCAGACATCAGATAAGGTAAGAAAAGCTAAATATGGGAGGGGGAGTAAATATTTCTTAAATAAGCCTGCACAATTCAAATATTTTTAACATTTTCCTTAAATTATTCCTGAGCAGCTTAAGAAATAAAATAGTAGCTCTTGCTGCGGTACTCACCTTCTTACAGGAGCTGCCCCCCACAAGCTCAACCGCACTGTGGTCCAGCCTATGTCCTCATTCAGGCTAAATGATGCTCAGGGTCATGAAGTCCTCTTCTTGCCCATGTAGAGTGTCATGGGATAGCTTTGTAAGTTGGCATTATCGCGGAGCACGGCTCTCACATACAGTGATACAGAGAACAACTGCGATGTCTGCATGTAAGCCCACTCTCTGCAGCATGTAGAACAGGGCAGCCCCAGAGAAGAGAAGAAGCTAATGAAGACCCTGTGTGAATGCATCTTGGGCCGCTGCTGTTGATTGGCTCATACACTGAGTAAAAGTATGTCTAGTTTACAATTTAATACTTGTTACTAAACAGAATGGAACCTCTCAGACTGACCTTTACATTTATTAGCAGGATTTCCGGTGCTGTTTTAGGGTTCTAAGCGTGTCATATAAGGGTAACAATACACAAAGGCCAATGCCAATGGCAATATTCCAAATTGTCTAAATAATTTTGATTGGTTAACAGCTAGTTTTGGTGGACTTTTTAGTGTCTTGCATATTCAAATTGGATGTTGAAATGTCAGGACAGTTATCCATTATCAGTGCAAATGCAAATGTCCACCAGGCCAATAGGCTCTTGAAAAACATGCAGGGAGAAAAGCTAATTTTGTAGCCAAATGTAATTGTCTCCAGGTCTAAGCATTCATGATGATCTTTTAAGCAGCTGGTTATTCTTATTTTGTTGCTGAGCTTTGTACATCTTCAACAGCTGTGTCTAAATGATTGGTACTCTTTCTTGTAGCCATAAGGTCCTACCATTCCATAAACACTAGTTTTCAGAGTATAACCAGGTACAATGTGCAAGGACCTGTACTCACATTAACACCACTATATATTATATGTATAAACCATTCTAGGCACATTGTCCCTACATTTTTCATTAAATCTTGTCTGCTCTCCCAGGTTTGTTATATTAATTTCTTTCTCTGTAAAAGGTCAGCAATGTAATTTATTATGTTTACTCCATTTTGCTTAGTAGAAGCATTGTATAATCTCTCTACAAGTGTTGTGAAACCACTGCCCTTATTTTGTATAATAAATGTCTTTATTACTATTATCAAAGCTTGGCCGTATATTCTTAAAACAGTAAAAAAATTTATATATATATGTATATATATATATACACACGGTATATTTAATGCTCATATAGCCGCAAGAAAAAGTTTAGAAATCCTGTATTTGCCCAAGAAGGGTGTTCAAAACTCTAAAGCTTTAGTAATTAATAAGCAGGACTTAAATAACATTTTACATTTTCATCTTTTTAGTAAACAAATGGTTTAAACTGTCAGTTGACAGAAGGTGGCTCTTAGGGTGTCTTGATAAGATGGCAATTGCCGTCTGTGAGCTTGGTGTTCCAAACAATTCAGGTGTGGGCTTGGCTTGCTCTCTTATGCTTACTGAGTGTCCTGATCAAGAGATTTGGGAGGAGTAGGGTGCAGTCCTTTCGCTCTAGTTTGTAGGAATCATGGCCATGAAGCTCCAAGCAGTTAACTACCACCAATATTTTTCAATCTTAAATTATATTACTCTCATGGAGTTTGAGAGGCCATCTTTTACTTCTTGGACCTTGGGGCAAGACATCGACCTAGAGCCCTGCCAATAAACCCACAGACACTGTGGAAGGCTAGTTCAGTAAAGGTCTGACTGGGTTGTGCCCCTGGGAAGCCACTAGCTACAGCAGTGAGAGAGAAGGGGAAAGATCAAAAGCAGTGCAGTACAGAAGGAAGCTGCCTTGACAAGTTTGGTTCTCTGGTCAGGAGAGACCACCTGTGCATCATGTAGAACAGATTCCATGTTCACCAGTAAGACCCAGCTCAGCCAGGTTCAACAACGTGTCCCTTAATTGCAGAAAATCATGTACACTGTAAGGTGTAGGTAGATCACTGGAGAGTTGGGATGGGGAAGACAAAGTTGCAAATTAGAGCCCAGACCTCAGGAACTCTACAGTTTTCATTTGCAGGCATACACTATCTGCCACTTATCTTATAGGAAACCCATGGACACCCATACCTTCACAAGAGACCAGTTTGGCCACTAACGTGATCCTGATACTCGTTTTCTAGTAACCCTAAAAAATGGTTGAAAGCTCTTACTTTAATGTTCATCAAGCACAAAATTAGTTTTAGGTGAGAATTTAACTTTAAGATTACAGTCTTCCCCAGTCTTCAATAGATCTCAGTTTCTAAAATCACATATTGTATAATCTTTTTAGTCAAATCAATAACTATCACCTCCAGTTGTGGAAATGGACCCAGGCGATCATCACCATGCACATCTCTAGTCAGCTTGACCACTACCAAAGCTTGGCTGTGGTAGCCACATTGCCACATCGCCACATCAAGGTACCGCTGATAAATGTGGTCCCTAACTTTAAGCTGAGTTTGCCAACTCTGGAAACATATATAGCAATGCGCATAGATCAGGCTCACATGGAGGCAGCCTTTTCCTCCTGAAAGAAACAGCAACAAGTTAGAAGCCCATGCACTGCTATGGTTATATGGTTGTCAGTCACATCCAGGTGCGTATGGCTAGTTGTGGTCCATACAGAAAGCTGGGACACTTATGTCCTGTGCTTAGACTGGACAAGGAATTGGAGCAGATAATATTGACATGTATAGGCCTTTAATGACCACAAACTATTGAATACCAGCAGGTGAGGAATATTACCATATAAAAAATTATATTTAAAACATATCATAATATTTGAAGCATAGCAATCCTTGGTAGTTCTTATGACTGAAATGACCCACTGTGAATTTATGTAAAGTAATTTTTTGTATCTTTCAGCTAAAACTCATCACAAGAATCACCAGATAAAATCTTTTTTTTAATTTCTTATATAAAGGGCTCTGATATATGTGACAGTGACTCTCTTATTGTTTAAAATAATGGAAATCAGGATCTCACAATCTATGAATTGAATAGGTAAATTCAGCTTTGTGTTGAGAGTGAAAGGTTTATTTATAACCTGTTACATATTTACAACAATATTAAGCGAAAATTATTGTGTAATGGCAAGGGGAAGGAAGATTTCTTCATTTAGATGAATGTGTTAGTGAGGTATTATTGTGTAATGGCAAGGGGTAGGAAGATTTCTTCATTTAGATGAATGTGTTAGTGAGGGTAATTGTTCTGTTCCCGCTACTTGTTACCCTGTGGCCTGTATATAGCTCGACATGCCCTCCTAAACCCTCCT